CAGTTAATTAAAAAAGTTAAAAGTTGTCCAGTTAATTTCTGTGCTTTCTAAAGCATCCCCCTGGAACTGCCCATTGGGATTTTTCAGGAGGTGAAATCTCTCTCCTGCTTGTATCACACTGCACTCCAGTGGTAGTTGCTCTGGAAAAAAAGATGTCCAGTTGTCCAGTTAATGAAAAAGTTAAAAGTTGTCCAGTTAATTTCTCTGCTTTCACTGGAATTGCACATTGGGATTTTTCAGGAGGCGAAATCTCTCTCCTGCTTGTATCACACTGCACTCCAGTGGTGGTTGTCCTGGAAAAAAAAGATGTCCAGTTGTCCAGTTAATTGAAAAGTTAAAATTTCTGTGCTTTCTCTGTAAAGCATCCCCCTGGAACTGCACATTGGGATTTTTCAGGAGGTGAAATCTCTCTCCTGCTTGTATCACAATGCACTCCAGTGGTGGTTGTCCTGGGAAAAAAAGATGTCCAGTTATGTGGGATGAGCTTTGAAATGCTGATCATTCATGAGTGCTCACTGTTTGAAAGCCTTGAAGGAGAGGAGCAGGTTGAAGTCAATATCCAGGTCAAATCCCAGCTCAGGTGGTAGCAGCTCCCATGCCCAGTTGTCCTCCTGCCCTTTCAGTCACACTTGTCATTGCTCCAGGACAAACTTCAGGCAGTGATTGCCCAAACCTGGCAGTCAGGCAGAGCTGGGAAGGCAGTCAAGGGTTAAAGATGACAATGATGGCAAACCAGGCAGTCAGGGCTGAGCTCTCCTGCACCCAAAGTGTCCCAGGCAAGGCCCTCTCAGGTTCAGCCTCACCATCTGCAGCTCCTCCAAGGCTCTGGGGACTGCATGACAGGAGTGGATAAAAAAAGCAGAGAACAGCCAGACACTATTATTTATCCATTCACTGTCTAAACTTATTTCAGGATCAAAAGGAGCTGATTGACATGAGAGCAGGAGGCAGAGCTCATGGAAACCTCCTGGTCCCAGGGGAACCTGCTGCAGCTGCTCTCTGGGGCAGGGCTGTAGCAAATGCCTTTCTCTCCTTGTCACTCATGACATTCCCTTCTTTTAGCAGTTATTACATTTGTCAGGTATTTTATTTTTCAGGTATTATATTTTTCAGATATGGTATTTTTCAGGTATTTTATTTTTCAGGTCTTTTATTTTTTCAGATCTGATATTTTCCAGGTATTTTATTTCTCAGGTATTATATTTTTCAGATATTATATTTTCCAGGTATTTTATTTTCCAGGTGTTTTATTTTTCAGGTATTTTGTTTCTCAGGTATTATATTTTTTCAGGTATTTTATTTTCCAGGTATTATATTTTTAAGATATTCTATTTTTCAGAGATGATATTTTTCAGGTATTTTATTTCTCAGGTATTGTATTTTTCAGAGATTATATTTTACAGGTAGTTTATTTTTCAAGTAATTTATTTTTCAAATATTTTGTTTCTCAGGTATCCTATTTTTCAGATATCCTATTCTGCATCAGTGTCCTCTTGCAGATGTGGTACTTTCATGCAACACTGCTATTCCTGCAAGTGATCCTCTGTCAGTGCTGCAGCTCTGGGGCTGTTGTAGAGGAAAAGGGGGAAAAAAAAAATACCAGGGCAGAGACAGGGGAGCAAGACCTCAGCAGAGACTGCAGAGACATAGCAGTTTGGTTGTGTGCTGGAATATTTAATGTCAGGAATCCTAGGAGATGATGATTGATAAAATGACATAGATCTTGAAGAACTGGAAATTTCTCCCTGTTTTATTTCCTTCTTTCTGAAATATATCAGCATGCAAACACTCTTTGCTCTGCTCTCCAGTCCTTACCTTGCTCTCACACAGGCCCTGTGAATTTTACAGGCACTAAGGGGGACGCAGGTTTTGGAAAATGTTTCTGTGTCCCAGATTTCAGGAAGGGGAGCAGCTCTACAACACCCCTCACCTTCACCATATTTATCCATCACCATATTTACCTATCCAGGGTGGATAATAGCAGGACAGGTGCCCTGCTCCTTTGGCATTCTGCTCTGGGGCTGATGTCACAACATTGCCCCAGGCTTGGACCCACAATGTGCACTGTCACTTGGATGAGAGGCCCCTTTTTTGTCTACCCTAGCAGTGCAAAGCCCTGATCTCCTCCTAAAATTGCTTGAAGGAAGAAGTGTCAGGAGGAGCTGGAATAATGCAGCTATTTCTGGGGCTGACAGCAGGAGGGAGCATGGCTGAGATGGGATGGATCCATTTTTATGCTGATAACAGGCTGCTGATGGAGCAGCCAGTGCAAAAAAAAACCCAAATGGAGGAGCTTTGAGGAAGGCAGAGAAGAGAGGGTTAGGCTGTACTTTGGGCTTGTCTGGCCTTTCCTTTTCCCTCTGAGGCTCTGGGCAGTCAGACATCTCCTCTGACTGACACACAGACAGAAATAGGATTTTTTGGTGCTGTTCAATACCCAGGGCGACTGCTTAGGGCTTGAGGTTTCAGAGAGAGCTGGAAAATATCTTAAGTTATTATCAGAAACAAGGGGAGCAGGAAGAAGTTTAGGACATGCAAAGGAGATGCAGGACAGTGTTACATTGCTATGGATCCATAGCACACATAGCAAATAGATATATACAGCATATAGAGAGCATATAAATAGCATGTAATATATAAGATATATTTTTGTACATTATATAAATATATATGTATTATATATATATATGTATATATATATATAAAAATATATATGTATATATATATATAAATATGTGGATTTATATATATATACATAATATAGCATATGATATATCTGATATAGAGCATATAGTTAGCATATACAGCATATAGAAGGAACTGTTTGAACAGCCTGCTTGGGGAAATGTTAGGATTATCCACAGGGATCTGGACAAGCTTGAGAAATGAGCCCATGGAAAACTCATGAGGTTTAACAAGACCAAGTGCAAGGTGCTGCCCCTGGATTATCCCCAAAATCACTCCAGGATGGAGGAGGAATAGATCAAGAGCAGCCCTGCCCAGAAGGATGTGAGGGTGGTGGTGGAGGAGAGGCTGGACATGCCTTGTCCTTGCTCCCTTCATCCTTCCAAGGAGTCTGACCTCACCAGGTTCATCCCCAATTCCATCAATATTTTTAGACAGTTGCTTGGAAGTAGCCAAGAGCTTTCCAGGCATGAGCTACAAAAACCTGGATGCTATTGCAAAAGACCAGGAAGAGTTAAAAGCACATTACTGGAAAGAAAAAAAAAACAAAAAGGAGAATCTAACTTTATCCTGAGGAGAAAGGGGATGTGTGAAGCCTTCAGCTGCATCAACTCCCCTGGTGCTGTTCAGGGAAAGGAAATAAAAAACAATGGCTGTGTCCATAAATAGGCCCAGGCAGGGGTTTAACACAGATTGCCTAATAAATCTTTCCATATTTCTAATCTGCCCTGGCTGACTCAGATTGCATTACTGAAATGTCACAATTGCTGAGCATTAGCAAGTGATAAGCACACTTTTACCACTGACTAGACAAGCTGTAATTAGGCCAAGTCCTTTCCCTCTCCCCTTTACTGGAGCTGTAACAGACTCTCTGAGAGCTTTCCTCTCAGAGAGGAAATGCCATAAAAACGGCACAAGGCAATAAAGGAAAATGACAGAAAACATAGGGGACAAGTCCACATCAGCCACGTTTTATTGAAGGTTTTCTTAGTGGCAGATAAGGCCTTATAAAGTGTGGCATTAACATGACCTGAACCTTGATAATTCCATGAGTAATTCTCCAAAGGGTGGGTGTCCCAGTCCCAAGGAAAGCCTTTTGCCACCTTAGCAAAGGAAAACATCAAGTGATGTTTGGCTTTGTGGCAGCTCACAGGAGCCTGGCTCATCAGTGGTGTAAGTTATGGATGCATCCTGGAATGGCAGAGCTTGGGAGAAATATCAAATTTTCTTTGGTAGGCTGAGGTGAGTGGAAGGATGTCTGAGACTGGAACAGCTCCCTGCCTTCTCTTGATGCTTCAGGTTTAGCTTTTTATTTTTTTCAGATTCTGTGCTGCTTTAGTGTGTGGGTCTGTGCGTCCTATGAGGGGATGGTGAGCTCTGTGCACAGAGCAGGGAGACAAAACAATTCCTGCTCTAGCTGGGCACCAAGGACAAATGATCCAAATCTCAGGCCCAGGAGCACAAACAACGTGGGCTGAAGAGAGAAAAACAGGGAGGATGGGACTGCATGGGCTGGAGCTGTAATTGCACAATTAACTCCAATATGCAAATGGACCAAAACTTACAGAAATGTGAGATCTCATGACCAAGCCCTCTTTTGCTTCCACCTTGGAGCCATCCAGACAGAGCCACAACTCTGGTACTGCCAGGGTGTGGCCTTTAATAAAATCCACTTTATTCCTCTTAACTCTGCCTAGCCTCTGCTCCAGCTCCTCAAGGCATCACTTTTATCACTGGTCTCTGTACGAATCACCAACAGGACTGCTGGGAACGTGCCTTGAGCTGTTTGATTTTCCAGCATCAGCCTCATTCCATGGTTATGACAATGGGAAGATGCCACCAGCTCACACCCCAGGCAGTAGACTAAGAAATCAATGTTACAACTCACTTTAAAAGTTTTTTGACCAACCACACAAAGCAAAAGCACATTGACAGTAGTTTTGTCCAACCACTATAAGCACAGGTACCTTTGGTTAAAACAATGTTTGCTTATTTCAAATACAATACCTGCTTGTAAGCCTTAAAACACAATGCACAGAGCTCCATTAGTAAGCTTAAAACTTCCTAATATTTCGCTAGATGGACTTTTCTGTAGCTTAGGGAGTTATTCTAGACAAGCTTTAATACACAGACCATTGTTCTGTTTGTCCTTGCTTTTCCATTCTTACATAATTTTTCTGCTGACCAATCTCATGGCTGCTGCTCAGCTCCAATCCCAGTTCTGCTGTCTCTGAGGCCTGCCTTTTGCAGCTTTCCCAAAACCCTCTGATTTTGTGGATTCCCACAACCCTCTCCTGCCTGTGTGTCTTTGGCAGATGGGCTGGCAGCTTTCCGTGCTTTCCTGAAGACCGAGTTCAGCGAGGAGAACCTGGAGTTCTGGCTGGCCTGCGAGGACTTCAAGAAGACGCGCTCGGCGGCCAAGCTGGCCTCCAAGGCCCAGCGCATCTTCGAGGAGTTCATCGACGTGCAGGCCCCTCGGGAGGTGGGTATGGGGTGCCACAGCATGCCCAGGGCACCCAGCAGGGTTGGAATTTTATACCAATATTGCCGGATGGAACGTGCCTGGGCTCGTCTGGGCCTTGCTGCTTGACCAGAGGCAGTAGCTATGGTGGTTTCACCTCAGAGACACCCCTGGCTGGCTGGATGCTGCAGCTGGCACTGGGGACAGGCATGCAGGAGCTCAGGTTTACCTCTGGTGGAAAGGCTTTAGGTGAGGTGAAGGAAAGGAGTTGGTTCTGATGGAGGGTTTGGATCCAGAGCTTTGTTCCTGGCCCACAGGGCTCTGAATGCAGCAACAGCTCCAACAGAACCACAGCGTGGTTGCTGTGTCTTTGAACCCTGGGGAGAGGGGCAGGGGAGGGGCAGGGAGCCACCAGCCAGGTACAGGAGGGGGAGTCTCAGGGGACAAATGACACTGGATGGCCCAATGTCCCTCAAGGGGTGTAAGGCATCTTTTGAACTCTGCCAATCACTCGAGGCCCTTCTGGAATGCCAAGATTGAGGGACAGCACTCAGCAGGGGCAAGGGAGGGGAAGGGAGAGGTGATTGGCACACCTGGGGAGGGAACAGGGATAGCTGAGACAGGCTATGGCATCCCACTGCAACACAGCAGGGCTGTCACCCCCAGCTGGGTGCTCTCCCTCTCTCCCTTCCCTCTCAGAGCGTGGTTAAGGATGGTGGCCATGGCATGCTGGCTGCTCCAGCCGCCTCTGCTCGCCCTGACTCAGTCCTGATGAGGGCAACTGCTTTGATGATACTGAATTAGTCACAGCCAGGGAGTTCACTGGCAACCTCAACCCACATTTCCTAACCTCACTGAGCTCACCAGGAGCATTTCACAGCGCTCCTGTCCTTTCTGTCAGCCTTCAGCAGGCTGTTGGGCTCTTCCCTGGCAGGACACCTTGCACAGGACCATCCCACCCATGAGTGGAACAAAGCCCTGAGGGAGCTGGGGGTGCTGAACCTGGAGAAAAGGAGACTCAGGGGTGACCTTATCACTTTACAACTCCCTGAAAGGTGCCTGTGCTCAGCTGGGGCTGGGCTCTTTCTCCAGCAGCACTGACAGAACCAGAGCACACAGCCTCAAGCTGCACCAAGGGAAATACAGGCTGGATATTGCAGAAAGAGTGATAAAGTTGTGGAATGGCTGCCCAGGGAGGAGGTGGAGTCCCCATGCCTGGGTGTGTTTAACAAAGCCTGGATGTGGCACTGGGTGCCAGGGTTGAGTTGAGGTGCTGGGGCTGGGTTGGACTCGATGATCTTGGAGGTCTCTCCCAACCCAGTGATTCTGTGAATTCTGTGAGTAACTTGTTGACTCCCAAGGGAGGAGAGCTTCTGACTAACTCCCCCCTCACCCAGACCTCCAGAGAGATACAAACAATAACTCTGAGCTGAACAGAAAATGCAGTCCCACCCCGGAGCCTGGGGTTGTTAAATCCTCTTTCAAGCACTCAGCAGATTGATGGCACTGCCAGGTCCTGCTGATGGCACTGCCAGGTCCTGCCTGGTGACCACACTACCTTGTGTCACTGCAATCACAGCACAGCCAGGGGCCTCTCACTGCACCCAGCCCTTCCTGCTCCTCCATGGGTGCCTGTCAGGGACCCAAAAAGGGCTCATTTTCCTCATTTTCCTCCCTCTCCCAGCTGGGAAGGCCATTGCAAGGCCACTGGGAAGGGTCCAGGTTCACACTGAGGTGTGTGGGGGTCTCAGTGCTCTCCTTGAGGATTTTCCCACAGTTATTCAGTAAACCAAATGAGATTTTAAGGACTGGAAGGCTGATTTTTGATTAGAAATAGGAATGCAGGTAGGATGGGCATCCTTCCTACAATTTGGTCCTGTGGTGATGTTTCCTTAGCACTGTTACATAATTTTGGCATGCTTAGAATATGAAATTATTAGAGCTAATCCATACTGCTGACATCCACGTTGAGGCAGACAGCTTTGCTTTCCAGGCTCCTTCCAGTTTGGACACTGAATTAATAACAACAAATAACATTTTTTCAGCCATTTTTTCCTTCCAGACAATAACCTTAAAAAATGCTGATTACCCTGCTAGGGAAGGAGAGCAGGAAAACTCTACTGGCTGCCTTTGCAAACAAATGGCAGTCATAACATTTATTTTTCCAAGCCTCTCCTCCAGATATTGTAACATGAAGCTGCTATGGGAAAAAATCAAACAGTTTATTTTAGATCAGCCAAGTTTGGAGACATTTAATAAGAATGTACTAATGGATTAAACCCAGTTGAAAGTTTATTCACCCATTTATTAGGCATGTGGTGAAGAAGAGAGGGAGCAGGAGAGGGGTTAGGCTGAGTCAGCAGCTTTAGGTGATGTGCTGCCTAAGAGTCTGAATGAAAGTAATTTAAAAAGTGATTTCAGTAAAAATAAAGTGATTTCAGAAGTGCTCAGATCACTATAAACCCAACTTTTCCAGGCTTGGGGCAGAATTCACAGCCCTGAATCACTGTGGGGGCTGTTCAGGCATGGGCAGGGGTAGGACCTTGGTTCTGCTGCCATGGCAGAGAGGGAATGAGCCATGTGAAGGAGGCCAGCTGGACACTCAGTGCCAAACTCTCTTCTGCTGCTTTCCCCAGGTGAACATAGACTTCCAGACACGGGAGCTGACCAGAAGAAATGTGCAGGAGCCCTCCCTCTCTTGCTTTGACCAAGCTCAGGGGAAGGTGCACAGCCTGATGGAGAAAGACTCGTACCCCAGGTTCCTGAGATCCAAAATTTACACAGACCTGCTGTCTCAGACCCAGAGGAGGCTCAGCTAGGACGGCCACGGGGCCCTCAGAAACCACGTGCTTCCCTCAACAGCCAAATCCCATGTCCAAATGTGAAACTTTCTTGGTGTTCAAAGCAGTGGGAATGGGAAAAGAGGGAGAAGGAGCAGAGGAAGCTTCCAGAGAGTGATCCAGGCGTGGTATTAAGACTCTTTGACTATCTGTGCTTTTTTTGTTTTTTGTTAGCAGTAGCACCTTGCAGTCGTTCCCTCTGTCTAGCACAAACCCACAACCCTCTCAGGGTCACCTGTGGGCAAGGCAGGTTTCCTTTGAAATGGCTGGGTTGGTTTGTGTGTAAATAACACCTTTCCATCCTTCCACACATCTCTCCCTGTCTCTCACCTCTCCCTTGTGCTCAGGAGGGCTCCAAGGGCAGTGCTGACACTTGGGAAGCCACAGCCAGCCCACCTCTCACCCTGCTGGGTGTGGGACTGAGGGGAGGGAGAGAGGAGACAAAGGCACAGGGTTCAATCCCTTTCTAGAAGTGGAAACCATCAGCAAACTCAGCTCTCACCCTGCTGGGTGTGGGACTGAGGGGAGGGAGAGAGGAGACAAAGGCACAGGGTTCACTCCCTTTCTAGAAGTGGAAACCATCAGCAAACTCAGCTCACCTCCCCATTTATTTTGCACACCTTATGGCTTGGCTGCCACCCTGTCACTGCCCCTTTTCCTTCAGGGATGGAGGCTCAGAGTATTCTCAAGGAGCTGAGTTTTCCTCATGAGGAAGGTAATCCCAAAAGCCCTCACTAGGACTGGGCAGGCAAGTCTTCTAACGTGAATGATTGTTTTTTGGTGGCTGTTATTTATTTGTGTGGCAGCTCAGTCTCAGCCATCATTCAGGCTCTGTTGTGCTGGGCACTGGACCAAAGCCCAGCACAAAGGGGCTCCTGGCTGCCACAGGCTTGGTGGCTCCTCAGGAAGGACCTGTTGGAACCCTCTGGCCCTTGCTGGGGTGTAGGAAAAGCACAAAGCCCGTCTGCCACAGCAGATGGCATTTTTCATGGGGTACCTGGCCAGTGGCAACGTGAAAAATCCCTTTTCTATTTTTGTTATTTCCCTTTTACTGACTGTTCCCATTCTCTGAGTGTCCCCTGTGGGTTCAGTGCCCTGCAAAGAGCTCCCCAGGACCCAGGCCCTGCTGCAGGGTGCTTGCCCCCAGTGGCACACAAAGCATGGAGTGAGCAGGATGGTGTTGGGGTGTGCAGTGGGGTGTGAGGGGCCCTTTGGCCCTGTTCCCATAGCCTGGATGGCCACTGCAGGAGAATTCTCTGTGCACATGCCAGGGGTGCAGCACCTCCTCTGGGCTGGGCAATAATTCCTTCCATCTGATGGCCCCATTTCCATGGCACTGCTGCTCCAGCTTGGCAGATTCTTGCAATATTTTTGAGGGGAGAAGCAGACAGCCTGTCTGTGGATTGGAGCCGGCAGACCAGAGGTCTCTTTTCTTAATTTAATGAAGGCCTGGAAAGTGACCCCATGGATCTTTTTCTTTCTCTCAGTCATCCCCAGACCAGAGGCTGTGAACCTCTGCTCCAGCCAAGGGTGCTGGGTGGATTTGATACATCAGAAAGCAGCTGATATAGACTTTGTGTAATGTGGTGCAAATGAGGTAGAATGGTTTCTAAAGCCAAGCAAAATGTTTTTGGAAGAAGATAAAAAAAAGTCTGCCTGGATATTAAAAATTACTGTCCATCAATTAAGTAGGAAACAGCTTTTTGAGGCTTTTGGCAAGGATGATGTGCAGGACAGTAGGACAAATAGGATCAAGACAGAGGTGGTAACCATGCTGGGTTTATTCTGGAGGTGCATTCCTGTGGTCTCCATGACACTGAAATCTAAATACATTGCAAGTGCAAACTTTATGTTAGTAGGGAAACCTGCTTTTCAGTGCCTGGTTGGTCAGCAGCAGAATCCTCCAGGTTTTTGGAAGGCAAATCCCATCTCCAGTTAAATTTCCCAGAGGAATGGCCAGAAAGAGCAGCAGTGACCCAGCATTTCTGGCTGTCCCCTGTCCCTGCAGGGACACCTGAGGAGCTGGGGCTGGCCTGTGGTGACAGAGGTGACATATTATTATATATAATAATATATATAATACATATATTATTATATATATATTCTGCAGCCAGCCCAGGCTCAGTGACACAGCTCCTGGGGCTGCTGAGGCCTCTCGTGGGACACAAGAGACACAAAGCTCAGGGTCTGGACGTGGCACAGTTTGACACAAACTTTTTGCTGCTTGCTCAAAAGTGGGAGCAGTGAGGGACACCTGGAAAAAGCTCCAGATTTGCCATGATTTCTCCAAGGGAGCCAGATCCTGCAGGAGCTGAGTGTCCCAAAGCTTTATGGCAGGCAAGGCACAGTGAGACAGGTCTGGTGAACCTGAGCAATGTGGAACAGGAATCACCAGTGGAAGGAATCAGAGGTGGAAGCAAAGGACACAGAGCCACACATCAGTGCCTGTACCTGGTGCTGCCTGGGCTGTAGGAAGGTGTCTTGGTTTGGAAAGCCAGATGTCTGCTGAGGAAGGCAGGAGCCTTCCCTGAAATGGAAAATGTAAACCCCTTCCCTTTGAATTGTTGTAATTTTGAAATTAAGGGGCTCTCAGGCAAAGATATGGGAACAGGAATAACAGTTCTTTACTAGGACAAATTAAAATACAAATGTAATAGTGCAAAAAAAGAAAACAAAGAAAACAACCCACTGCCACAGTGAGAGCAGTCCCTGCCCCCTGTGTGTCAGGGGGGTGGCACAGCCCCATCCCATGGGGGCTCAGCCCTCCTGCAGTGCCAGCTGTGGTTCTGCTGGAGCAGGGATCCTGCACAAGGGGGGAGTTTTCCTCTGCAGCTCCAGGGCTGCTGGAGATGGGCCTGGGCTCCCTCTGGCAATGCAGGGCAGCAGAAGCTGCTCCTCTGGCAATGCACTGGGCAAAGGCTGCTGTGCTGTGCCAAAGCTCAGATTGGATCCAGGTAGGAATGCTTGGCTCCTCCCCTGGGTGCAGCATCTCCCCATGGGATGATGGGATTGGATCAGCCCTGCAGGGACACTCACTGGCCATGGACAGGAGATAATTAATAATGAATGGCCCATGGACAGAAGATAATTAATAATTAATGGCCCATCAACAGAAGAGATCTCCTGGAGGGAGGATTGGTTGTGGGAGAGATGAAGAAAACTGCCCAATGAACAGCAGAGAACTGCCCCACCTCTGACAGATGGGGATAGAACACAGACCCCAGCCACATTTTGTAATGTAAGACAGAAGGAGTCATACCAGCCCCACAGCCCCTGCCTGGGGTAGGGAGCAAGAAGGACAAACCCAGCTCTGCTGCAGTGACACACTCATGGCTTGACCTGCAAGGGAGGATGGAAATCTGCCCTCTCTGGCTGTGAGCAGAGGCTGGGGGAGCCCCCCTTTCCCAGAAATGCTGTCTGCACCCCTGTGTAACCCAGCACAGACTGGGATCTCCCATGGGCATTGCTTTTGCAGTTTCCTCTCCCATCTGGGTCACCAAAAACTGATGCCTTGGAGTGGCTGCCTAGAACAGAGGCTAGACAAGGTTAAGAGGATAAAGTGGGTATTTTTTAAAGGCCTTCAATAGGCACACCTTGGGCAGTCAAAATCCTCACAGAGCAGCTACACCCAGGATAGACAATGGTCATGAGTTTTTCAGACAATTATAAGTTTGGTCCATTTACATATCAGGGGTTAATCCTCCAATTACAGTTTCAGGCAATGAAGTCATTTACCCTCATTTTGCTCTCCCATAGTTCACTTTTGTTCATACTTTTTGGGGCCTGAGGCTGTAAGGTGTCTTTGGATCACAGGCCCAGAGGAATTGTTTCATCTGACCAAAATGTGGAGAGAATTAACTACACTTTACATGGAGTTTAGAACTATGCACTAATACAGTGTAGGACTTGAAAAATACAAAAGTTAAAATCTTAAGGCATCAGCCTGTGGTCCCAGTTTTACTCCCTGCTGCCAAAGGGCAGCTCAGCTTCCCAGCACTGTGGCATCAAACAAATGCTGCAAGTGGTGAATGGAGGCCACCTTGTCTGCCCCTGCCTTCCTCCTCTCCACCTTCCTCTTGCCTGTATGTGCAAAAAGCATTGCAGAGCTGCCCAGCAGAAGGAGGCTGAGGCAGTCACTGCTTTTAAAGAGAAGGCAGAAAGCCATGACAGCTCTCTAGACAGACCTTCTGAGTGGGCTTGGGTGGTGCTGACCTCTAGGGCCAGCTGAGGCACCCCAGCCAGGGCTCTGCAGCACCTTGGGGAGGGCCACAGAGACAGCCAGGCCAGGGGACACAGCAGGAGCCAGGGGCTTGTGTCCAGGAATGTGAGTGGGGACAATCCCCAGGCTCCCCTGGTGTCCAGAGTGCGACTCCCTGGTCATGTCCAGTGTGACTCCATCTCTCCATGAGATCCTCCAGCAGTGTTGGTGCTGGAATTCCTTTCATTTCACATCAGAACTCAAAGAAAACTTCAAAGTGGCCAACACCCTGCAAATCCAAGCTCCTTTCTCTCCTCCATCCACCTGGGGAATTGCTCAGAGCAGGGCACACCTGGAGATGTCGTTGCTGCAGTGGTGACAGGAGCTGGAATCAGGCTGGCTGATGTAGGAGAAGTGTTTTTCTCAGTAAATTGTTCCCTCCACTGGGAACAGCATCTTAGAACACAGAGTGGAGCAAAAGTATTGTCTGAGGCATTTGAGTCTACCACTTGTTATTTTTGTTGCTGCTCTTGCAGTTTGTCTCTCTGGAAGGAAAGCAGACTAGTTATTTAAAGTAAAATTCTATTTTTCTTAAACAAGAAAATGGCACCAGCTGCTTCTGCTGCTTCTTTTATGACAAATGCTGTTCTGAATTGAATCAAAATAAGCAGCTTGTAGCTCTACCCCTTAAACCAGGAGCTGATCAAGGAAATCATGACTGAGCCAAAGCTTTGGAAAGAGCTGAGTGGTGACTAATTCCCACCAAGGGCAAATATCCTATCCTTGATTCATCTCTTCTTGCTGTGAAAGGGATACTCACCACCTACAAACCCATTTCCCCTCTCCACAAGCACACACCTCCAAAATTTTCCTCCTGTTTGGAGCAATGTTAAAATGTGCCATCGCATGAAGAGAGGGGAGAAAAAAAATTGGTTCACTCAGTTCTTTTTATTCTGTTTGCTGGCCCATACCCAGTCAGTTCCCAGGTAGATTGATGGCAGAAGGGAAAAAGAGTTTACAAGTTTCCTTTTCTGTGAGCTTCAGGTGGTGTTAACTGCAGGGTCAGATGCAGAACTCTAATTGGTCTGAAGTTTCTCCTGCTTTGGTCCATC